GCTTGATTGCAGACTGGATTCCGGTAGAGATCAGGAGCGGCTTGGCCACTGAATTGGTTTCGGTGGACATCGAGAACGGTTTGACCACCGGATTGGTTCCGGCAGACATCAGGAAGGGCTTGATCACAGGCTGGATTCCGGTGGAGATCAGGAGCGGCTTGGCCACTGAATTGGTTTCGGTGGACATCGAGAACGGTTTGACCACCGGATTGGTTCCGGCAGACATCAGGAAGGGCTTGATCACAGGCTGGATTCCGGTGGAGATCAGGAACGGCTTGGCCACCGGCTGGATTGCGGCGGGCATCTGAAATGGCTTGACCACCGAATTGGTTTCGGTGGACATCGAGAATGGCTTGACCACCGAATTGGTTTCGGCGGACATTGATAATGGCTTGACCACCGGACGGATTCCGGTAGACATCACGAAGAGCTTAACCACCGGCTGGATTGCGGCGGACATCTGGAATGGCTTGACCACCGAATTGGTTTCGGCAGACATCGAGAATGGCTTGACCACCGGACGGATTCCAGCAGACATCGGGGACGGTTGGACCACCGGATAGGTTCTGGCGGTCCTCAGCAATGGCTTGATTACTGGAAGGATTCCAGCAGACATCGGGTAAGACATCAACACCGGATGGTTTCCGACGGGGATACAATTCAAGACCGGTCTGGTTCCAGTCGAGGTTAGGATTGTTTTCGGAACTTCACCAGCTGCGACGGACTTCGGTTCGATGGCTTGAAAGTCGTCTTGGAATAGCTTCGGATTGACTTCGGTTGTTTCGGGAGGTTTAAACCGTTTTACATCCATGACTTGAGGTGAGTCCTTATTGACATGGCACTCGGTTGGTTCACTTGCCATGTTATTAGGCTTGACTTCTACGAACTTGGCTGAATTCTCGACGTAACGGTCCTCTGTCAATCCACGAGGAAGATAATTTGGCTTGCACGCAGAGTTGAGCTTAACATAGTTAGCTTCGGTTGGAACCTCATCTTCAATCGTACTTGTCAGCTTGGTTTCAGTATCGGCAGGATTACCGTACTCGGCCACATTGGTAGGTGGAGGTGAATCATCGACTAGCCGGACCTCGGTCGGTCCACAATGGGAGTTCAACGGCATAATCATGGGTTTCGCCTTCAAGAGTTCAGTTGGATTATCCACTTCAGTTGACTTCTTGATCGACTTCGTATCGGTGGATTGATTCACAATCGTCTTCACATCGATGGTTTGGATCGGGTACGACATACGCTGCGGTGGCAACTTTATCGTCATTAACGTACATGGCAGTTCCATCGCGTGTGGAATCGGAACGGGCTGTTCCGTCATTCGAGTCATTGGTTGATTTTGGACGATCCGAGCGTATGGTTTGCTTGTGGCCGGTGATGGTGTTCGGTGTTGGTGGTGCCTGATATCGGTAGTTGGAAAGGCAAGCAGCAATGTTTCCACCAGTATACAGGCCTCGGTGTAGAGATCATCGAAACGCAGGTAGTCCTCATCCTGCTCATCAAATCTCTCTGCAGAGATGGCGGTCATAATTCTGTTGTGCAACCATTGATACTCCTGGTAATACCGCTGGAGGTTCCTGGCGTGCCTGTTACACAGCACCGAATGCATGGTGATATCGGTTTCTTGCACTTCCTTCAGGATTCGCGTTACCTTCGCCTCTACTAAGCCACGAAGTACGATCAACCTTTCCACATCGGTCATCTTTGGAACGCGTAGTAAACTATCACACGCATGCGATTCACTTTTCGGAATATTGTTTTTCGCGAACGCGCTCACTCATATGATTCACTTTTTTGTATACTTCGCACACGATGCTGTCATCGGCAGCAGCGGAAGTAGTTTTGTTTGTTTGGTACTTGGCTAGCGTAGCACGTCCGTTTCTTTCGGTGGGAAATCGGCTTCGTTCCAGTTGGCAGGAACATCTATGCGTAAACTTTTACGGCGAAAGCTTCTTGGCTCGTGATCCGGTTCGGATGGACCAAATTATGTTCGGACTGGGAGGGAACTTTCCCTTTCGGTAGTGGACTGTATCGGCAGGGTGGTGGAGGAAGCAAGCGTCGATCGGAAATCAACTCGTAAGGGCTCTGAAAAGAGCTGGTGGGTTCGACGCTGCTCCAAACCAGGGATGTGTGCAAAATAAACTTGATCGGGACGGCTAAGCTAACAACTGTTTATTCTCTCCTCTTTCTCTCTACAAATTCTGCTTCTACTGCTGCTGATGTTTGCTGGTGCTTGGTCGGAAAAGAACTCTTGTTTTGCACGGTGATGCATGTCTCTTTTAAAGCGGCGAGCGTTGATGTGGTCGTCGCTGATTGGTGGATGTTGTAGCCTATTGATGGTCTCGTTCTTCGCTGCTTGTTGGTCGTGTTCGTATCAGTTGACTTTCGGCGGAGACGGAACAGGAGTAACAATCCCACAAAATTATGTCGACTGATTCCTACACAATTCAAGTTGAACATTGCATTAGGTCCTAAGTAACATTGACAGATTCTCTTCATCGATTTTCTCTTTCGTTAACAACTTGGGTATAGAACCGTTTCTTGTCATGTTTGTCATATTTTTTTTATATTTTATTTCTTTATTATCGAGATTTTCAGCCGCAGGCTGGTTCATCTCCCGTTTAATGGTGACATGGAAAGGGCGTTTGAAAGATCCAGTGAGGCCCCCCCTTGGCAATTGAATAATAAATAGTTTCAGTAGTTCATACATATTATAAAGATGTAAAACAAAATCGTAAGCCCTTAAACGTTGGCAAATGTGGGTTGCTGAGATGATAACAATATTGATGTTAGGAGAATAGTCCGTTAGGTGTTTGCAGGATGATCAGTTGTGAAATGGCAAATCTCATAGCGTGGACAGAAGATAAGTTTTTCAAATTTGTGTGTAGAGTGCGGTGTCTTTCAGGAAGCACAGCAAGGCAGATTCGTATGAGGGATCGTTACTTAGAACGTCTCGCACTCCAGCGTGGATACGATACAGACGTCGATGATCCTAATACTTGGGACAATTCACAAGTATGTGTCCTACTATCGCACCGTTTGTGCCTGTCTGGTACTGTGGAATAATCGTGGGTGACTCGAGTGTGACCCGTTCTTAGACGCGATAGGGTTCGTTGGTTTTTCCAGCGGGGCTGATCAGTCCATTTCTTGATGTCACCATTCACCTTTCGCAAAAATAGCCATCTTTCTTGTTGCCAGCTTTGGGCCCTAGCATCTTGGATGATCGCTTTAACCCATGTTTTGACGTCGTCAGCTGGCGTTTCATTGGTATACAAATTTGACTCCCGACCGACAGACGCCAGATGGTCAGCGGTTTCGTTTCCAGCTATTTCGACGTGTCCGGGTATCCAGGCAAATCGAAGGTTGCTAGTAGCCGCATTGTGTATAGCTTGGATCCACGGGTGGCGATTCTTGTAAGACTCGAGCGTCGAAAGTACACTTGCTGAGTCAGTGAGGATTGCCGTAGGACACGATGAAGCTCCAAAGGTAGCTAAAACTATGGCGACAGCTTCGGTTGTGAACACGGAACATGTATCAGGTAGGCGTTGAAAGTAGGTTATATTGGGACCGGTTACCCTAATTCCCACGTGACCCAGTGCTTTGGAGCTGTCGGTGAATATGAGTTGGTATTGGCAAGTTTGGTAGAAATGAATTGAAGGTATGCTTTGTGAAGATGAATAGAGTTTTTTCCAGCTCTGAAGTTCCTTTTTATTGTCCAGTCGATATTCAATTGAGGAGAGTTCCAATCTCTGTCTCCTACCCAGTGAGTCTCAGAAACTGGAGGGAGCTCTTGATTGGGCAAATAATGAAGGAGTTTGTTCGCCTCCATGAGGAGGAACACTCCCTCAAAGCTAACTGCTTTGGAACAGGTAGCGATGGTCATCAGATGCCTAAAGGGATAAACAGCGGTTAAGATGCAAGCAGCTTTTTCTGGAGTGGATGGGAGTAGCCCTGATACGGTCCTGATACACCGGTTGTAGATCGGTCCCAGCATCAAGTCGGCCGTACGGCATGTGATTTCGATCCCGTAGAGAAGCCTGTTTGTTACTACGGCGTTGAAGATTCGCCGCAGGAGCCGAATCCTGGACTGGCAGTTCTCGCTAACTGCTGTGAAATGTGGCTTAAAACTGAGCCGGCGATCGAGGAGAACACCGAGGACTCGACATTGCTTTTTATAGGGTATTTCCTCCCCGTCAATCGAAATGGGCCACTTCCAGGGATGGTGGTTACTCATGCAGAGGTGGGTATTGCACTCTTATTGGCGGAGAGTTGGAACCCAGCATTTTCGGCCCATTTGGCAACAGCACTTGTTGCCGTCTGAAGTTTTCTTCGGATTTTTTGGGTATTTCCCAGCAACAATCAGATGTTTGTCATATTAAAAGATAGATAATAGCTTCTTTCATCGATCTGTGTGCTGAAAATAGCTGGGAACGAGAATCTGTCAATGTTACTTAGGACCTAATGCAATGTTCAGCTTGAATTGATTTTTATTTCAGGGCGTAATCTATTTTGTTATTGGTTTCAAAACCAACAAACGAATTATTGACATTACAACCGTTTTGATGATTCAAACATATTTTTCGTTGAATTAATCGTATAATATATTTGAATCAATACCCAAAACTAGAGAGCCACTGCCAATGCAATCAAGATAGGCGCTACTCAATTAGCTCTGGTATTTGACAGTTCGATTGGCTCAATACCAGGCAGTCCGCTCCTCTCTTATACTAGATCCTTTCTACCCAAAACCTATTAGGCCCTGAGACAAAAATATATCCATTTGAATTTTAAAATAATGTCTCTGCGTGTAGTCAATGCCATTTCAAACTGCTCGAACGAAGTCGTTAATTGATCATAGTCATCCAGCGGTCGTGATTACATATTTGCATGTGCACATTTGGAACTCTGCTAGACTAGCTCAGTAGGCAAAACGTACACATCATAATCTCGTAGCACATTATCAGTAGTTATCAAATGTTGGTCAATGTTCATTTGCTGTAGCACATTAAAGATAGATAATGCCCAATAACAATTCTACAATTTGCTTCATTCATTTCATTCGTTCCAGCAGCTCAGTTAGTTCACATCGTCACCTAGCAATCACCTGTAGGTTCAAACCACACAGACAGAGAGAAATGACAGCATTAGCATTATCCAGATTATCGGCCAAGTTGCTCGCCAGGAAGCCTTTCCACAGTGTAAGTACTAACTGCTAAAAACAATCAATGTTTATGATTGTTTTGAAAAATAATAAAACAAATCCCTTGTTTGTTTCTCATTAGACTTTTAAAATATCCGCCCGCAATCTCAACCTATTGGAGTATCAAAGCAAAAAGCTTCTAGCGGAGAGCGGAGTTGCAATCCAAGCTTTCCGGGTGCTGGAGGGAAAGAAGGACGAAAATGTTTTGAAGGATTTCAGTGAGTATAATTAGTATTTCCCATCTTGTCTTACGCGAAACATCAACCGTGATCGATCATCCCTCTTTTGCAGACGTCAATGAGTATGTCGTCAAAGCACAGATTCTCGCCGGCGGCCGGGGTAAAGGTCACTTTGATAACGGTTTCAAGGGAGGCGTCCATTTCACTAAGGAGTAAGTAGAGAGGGATTGAACTACAATGCAATATTATTATGACATAGTTTAAGTCCAAATGACATCCGGATGATCGTATATTTTCTACTTCTGTTCTCAGCCGCTCACAGGTGATTCCCCTTGTCGAACAAATGGTCGGCCACAGGTTGATAACCAAGCAAACGCCCAAGGATGGTATTATGGTCAAGCAAGTGATGGTGGCAGACAGTATCAACATCGCCCGCGAAACGTACCTCTCAATTGTGATGGATCGCGAACACAATGGACCAGTGCTAATTGCGTCGCCTGCCGGTGGAATGGACATCGAAGCGGTAGCCGCGGAAACCCCGGAGAAAATCCATACCATTCCGATTTCAGTGTCGACCGGAATCACCCATGCCCAAGCGGAAGAAGTGGCTCGTTTTCTCGAATTCAAGGGACCCCTGGTGGAGCGGGCAGCCGCAGAAATCGAAAAATTGTACCAACTGTTTGTCAAGGTAGACGCAACGCAAATTGAAATCAATCCACTGGCGGAAACCGACGATGGGCGTGTGATTTCAGTTGATGCCAAACTGAACTTTGACGATAATGCTCAGTTCCGGCAGAAGGATATCTTCGCGATGGAAGTTCACGAGGATATCGATCCAAAGGAGGTAGAGGCTCACAAATATCACCTGAACTACATCGCAATGGAAGGCAATATCGGTTGCTTGGTAAATGGAGCTGGTTTGGCCATGGCCACAATGGACATCATCAAGCTGAACGGTGGCAGTCCAGCAAACTTCCTGGACGTCGGTGGTAGCGTTAAGGAGGACCAGGTGCTGAAAGCATTCCAAATTCTGACTTCCGACCCGAATGTGAAGGCCATCCTGGTGAACGTGTTCGGCGGAATCGTCAATTGTGCCACCATTGCCAACGGAATCGTGAGTGCCTCAAAAATCATGGGACTGAAGGTACCGCTGGTGGTGCGGTTGGAGGGAACCAACGTGGATGCCGCCAAGAAGATACTGAACGAGTCTGGACTGAAGATCGAATCTGCTCACGATCTGGACCAGGCGGCCAAGATGGCAGTGAAAGCGCTGGGTTGACGGTAAGTTATTAGCCTTTTTTTATAAGTTTTAACACGAGATCGTATATAGGATTGTTCGTCCAGCATATCCGATGACAAAAGAGACACCTCAATATCATTGCATTTTTAAGCAGAACAAAACATTTCGTTTAGCTGACAAAAGAAAGCCCCTGACAATTAATATGTTCTTTTTTTAGTCATCAACACTCTCGGGTCATTCGTGACTTGTCCGGTCCGGGGATGAGATTTGAGAGGCAGTGATCGGAAGAACTCAAAAACTCAAATCTCATGCGTGAGTTTGTTCGCCTATGAGTTTTGTCTTGTAAAGTTCAACTGCGCAAAAATCCAATCCGATGAGTTTTCAGGTTCAAAAATTCATTGATTCATATTTTGCCGCTATTCATTGTTATTTTTGCATGAGTGGATGGAAAACTAAGACAACATGCATAAGCATGCTATCAATTGACGTTTGAACGGCTTCTATGAGTTTTAGGTGGAGTTGTAAGTGTTAGGTGCGTGCGCAAGTCGATCGAACAATAGAAAGCTTTTAGGGAGTGGATGCCGGTGAAGTTTTTAGCTATCCTTAAGTGAGCCCTAAAGTTCTTGACGCCTTATAGACAACATATGCAATATGTTGCTTGAATGATAGCTGTGAATCCAAGATCACACCCAAGTTTTTCATCTGATTCACGCGTTCGATGTTCGAGCCAAGTAGGTCATCGCTAAATATTAGCGGTTGTTGTTTTTGTGAAAACGTAACAGCGGAGCATTTGGCTGGGTTCACCAGCATTCCGTTTAAACTGCACCAACTAGCAAATACATTCAGCTGACGTTGAAGAAAGTGACAGTAAAAGGAGTACTTTGACTATATTTTTTTTAGTATTACTTCTGCGTGAAGTCAACAATTTACATAGTTGAAGATGCTAATTTCAAATAACAGACTGAAGTGGTAATTTTTATACGATAGATGAGGAGATGAAAGTATACAATTGCTAGTTCTGTTTAGAGTATACGGCAGTGCATATAGAGAGTAGAAAGCGAGCTAGACAACTTTTAGGAAGGTACAAATCAGTTTTATCATCTCTCTTTACCAAACTCCCCCTTTGGAGAGGGGGTGAGGGTCAACGGTCCCAGGTGACTTCCCTGAGGTATACCTGATGTGACGAAGAAGCTGGCTGATCTGCAATCTCCTTTGGCAACCTTTAGTTGGAGACCGGTAAGATACGATCGACACCAACTCAGATGATTACCGCATACACCGAGCCTGCCGAGTTTAGCAATCGCAATAGCATGGTTCATCCTGTCTAATGCTGCGGGGATAGATCTGAATAAATGCATGTTTTGGGGATTCAACTGATCGTTTATGATAACCTTATCTTTAAGTTCTTGTAGATTAAAAGATAGCAAGCTGAATGATATAAAAAATGCCTGCAGTAACATCCTAGCTACTTCGTTAACGGATTACCTGGATCCTACCATGCCTTAAACCTGTGAATAAAAAAAAATGTTATTTGGTTTTTTTGTACCTGGATTTTTTCTGAAAAGTGGCTGAAAAATCAGGGAATTTAGTTTTCTTCATAGAGTCGACACTTTGTGGGATTGCGGATTTCCAGGATTATGCACTTTGAAGAATAAGGAGCATTTAGAATGAATTCTAGGGATAAGCCAAAAGTATTTCAGGGTTTTGCGACATGGGAATTTTGACAAGAACTCTAAGGTTATTTTTGGAAAGAATTCCAAGATGGTTGTGAGAAGAGCTCCTGGTGAAAATTAAGGAAAATTCTATGTAGAATTTTAGGTGGTTCATTAAAGAAGATTTTTAGGTGGTTTGAATAAAAGAATATTCCAGGAACAGTTCTAAAGTGTATTTCAACTAAGTTCTGAGCAGAATTTCAAAAGTGTTCTGATGAAGGTTCTAAGTAAATTTCAAGAAGAACTTTGATGCTATTGAATGTTGTGGATAGTTCCTAAAAATTTTTGATATAAATTCCATGGAAATTATGAGGATAATTCCAAGTGGATTTTAAAGAAAATTCCGAGATAATTCGTAGAAGAGTTAAAATCCAAAGAAAACGTAAATCCATATACTGCGGAAATCCCTTTGTTTAGTTTGGTAATGTAACTATCATATATCGTTTTGCAAATGTCGGAGGCAAAAGCAGTCGATTATCACAAAAATTGTGTCGACTACCGTGATCGCTTAGACTGATTACAACCCATCATGAGCATTTTTCATGCTCCTTTAAAATAAATCACATAATGGATCCCATAACTTTGATCTCGGTGTGGGGGCGACTCCGGCGTAGTGGTTTAAATCCATACCTCTCACGCCAAAGTCACGAGTTCAAATCTCACCCCCAGACAAGTCACGAATGACCCAAGAGCGTTAAAGTGACTATAATAAAAAAAAACTTTGATCTCGAAACATTATTATTTGTTGAATCATTTCATTAAGGTAATCAAATAATAATTTTATTAATTCAATAAGCAAGTGCATTGTCCATTTCCTCACTCTTTACTCATTTTTCTGATTCGATTAATGAAAACAAACAATTCACTAAGATGATTTTAGATTCAGATCGCGAAGGAAATGGATTCGGCACTTTTTGGCCATCAGAAGTCACTTCTATTGTTTGTGACGACATCCGTCGTAAATTGTGATGTGATGTGAATGGAACCATCATCAGTGCAACGATTACCGATGTCTGTAGATACTTTACCGGTTGTAAAGTTCTGCGTGATGGTTTGTTGCAGCAGGGTGAATCAGCCTCATTGAAGACCTTTGGAAGACAAAACGACCAGATGGCCATCTTTAATCACGTGACGAGGGACTGGCAAATCCACGAACCCTCGTCCAGTCAAAAAAACCTTTGATTCCCTTCCCTCAACCCAGTAAATAATATAATGTTTTAACATATATGATTTACAGTAATGTTCCACCACATGCTGAAAAATGTGCAGACAATCCATTCAATGATGATTTCAAAGACCCAAAAAATAGGATGCGTGGAGAAAAATCCATTGAGAATTTGTCAAATTTAAGAGAATCATGTAAATTTAGTTTAAATAGATAAAATCAGATACGATCTCACCATGTTAGTCCCTCGGGTAGTCCAAATGAATCCACAGGAAGCATCCGTGCAATGGAATATCTTGGTTCCAATAAAGGTTCCTCTTCGTTTTCGAAACCGTATGTCAGCGCCTCTCAAAGTACTCTACAACTTTATTTTTGGTACCAACTTTCTATCTCGTTTAGTTTTGCTGAAATTTTGTTCTAAACACATCATGTTGGGTCGTTAATTAACGGTTGCATAAAACACGAATTCCACCCACTATGTGTTACTGTTGACGTCGTATGCAGCGCGCACAGCACACTTGATCGCCGCATGGAGTGGCGGTCTAATACGTGAATAAAATTAACCTTTAGATATCATTAAGGAATAACGTGCAATGAATTTGGATTTGATATTTGGCAGTTTTCCACAAATCGGAAGTCACTGTCTTGGATTCCACAATGGTGTCAATATCGATTTCCTTCCTCTACACGTTCAAAAATACCCATATTGTAGGGTATTTGACAGTTTTTCACGAACCGGAAGTCACAATCTTGGATTCCAAAATGACGTCCTTGATCGATTTCCGGGCTCTACACGTCGTCCTAATTTTTCACAAACCGGAAGTCGCCATCTCGGATTCCTAAATTGCGTGAATCATAGATTTCCGGCCTCCACACGTCGTTCCCGTTCCGAAAATATGTACCTCCGGTGAACCCACTCGAAGTACACATCAAAATTAATTTTTTGGCTAAGGGGTCGTCCATTAATTATGTCACACATTTAGGGGGGAGGGGGGTTTTTGAAAACTGTGACGAGCTATATAAAAAAAATAAGGTTCATACAAAAAATGTGACAAAGGAGAGAGGGGGTGTTGAAAATGGGCCTAATTTGCGTGACATAATTAATGGACCATCCCTAAGTCCATTCCTCAGAAAACATTATTTCAAAAATCGTCGTGAAAAAACCGCGTTATTTCGAAAATCGTCGTAAAAAAACCGTGTAAAAAATGATTTGAGTGTACAAGCAAATCTGGTAAACTTAGTCAGCTACTTTTGGCTGTTGGGATTGCCCTTATTGCATATCGATGGAAGTTTTTTCAAATCTGTTATTCTGCTGTTTAGTTGTGAGTGAACGTGAAAAGCGCTTATTCAACCTGTTCTCTATTATTCAATAATCAAGAACACAGATTTATTGTTAAGCCGAGTTAAATATTGTCTGCAAATCGGTTAAGTGATTTATTGGTTTTATATTGCGGCGGATCAAATTCAACGAAATTAGTTATAAGCACACCACTTAATTATTAACTGCTGGGTAGTGTCATGGGAATTTTGAGGTGAAAATTGAACAGTATTGAAAAATATCTATAACGGAATTTTTAAACAAATTAGGTAGGGGAAATGGATGTAATGTCGGCCTAAATGCCCCTAATTTTTGCCCATACTTTTTTCCCTTGATTTTTTGTTTTCCGTCGATCTTGTTTTCCGTGCTGAGCACCAATGCTACCGACGCCAGGGAGGCAGCTCCCACACCTGGACCCTACCTATCGAACCATCAACTCATGAACCGGGGATCAACGGCTTTACTTCCCTTCCGAAGGAAGGCGTGATCAGAGATGTTATGCCTCAGAACATCCCGGCGGCGCCGACTAAGATTGAACCCAGGCCTGCTGGGGTGAGAGGCAATCACGCTTACGACTACACCACCGGCACAGCTAAATTTGGGCCCATACAGCCCATTCAGCAATCGACTAAATTTTCAATAGCGACCAAAAATATACATTAGTACCGTTCCAATGACGCGTTCATCTAGATAAAATTGATAAATCTCGATTACTTTTTCAAAGGGCCGCATTTTATCGTTGATTTGGCGTAGGTGGCAAGTTTTCCCCTGCCTGATAGTGGTATTAGTATGCGTGTGCGAGCTACCAGTTACGCCAAATTGACGATCAAATGCATTGGTTACAAAAGCTTCGAAAAAGTAATCGGGAAAAGCAGATTTTTAGCGATGGGCCCAATCTTAGATTCATATAACGAAAT